AAAAAAAAAAAAGCAGTGCTTGGACAACCTTGCTTCAAATATTAAAATTTCATATATTTCTGGTTCATTACATATAAAATAGTAGGAAAAAAATAATTCGCTTTTCTAGTTTTTGAGTTTCAAATTCATTCCTTTTATATAGCTTATATATTATGAGAGTACATAAATCAACTACTTAGCATGAGAACCAACACTTTGGATCTGTCACCCACCAAGTATTCCCACATAAAACCACCACTGTGTATTGGGAACATCTTCCCATGAATGACAAGAGATATTCTCAATGCACAACTATAATGTGTTGTGGGTAGCAGATCCAAGCCCAAGAACCAACTGATGATGGCTCAATTGATAGGTTCTCTAGAATGTTGTAGCAAGGACTTGGGATCAAATCCCACTGCTCCTAGGGTTGAGGGTTAAGGCCTTAAGGGTTTGGGGATTGGCTACTCCTTTTGTGTAGCCCTATAAATCTAAAACAAAAAATGTGTTTAGCATGAAATTGATAACCAAGTTAAAAAACAAATTCAAAATTGAATTGATGATGATAACCGAAGGCTCACATTAAGTGTTTTATTACTACATTTTATTATTTGAGCCAAAACAATCCATGAAACAAATCTACACTAAATTTATAAAAAGAAAGAAAGAAAAGCTCTATGACCCATGGAAAGGAGCAATGGTTTCTTAAGAGTATTATATGAGAAGAAAATTGGTTCACCCCATGTATTGGGTGAACGCATTTGGGTTTTGACATTAGTTTAGGTCCAAGCTAGGGTTCATCTTTATATTAGCCCTTACCTAACCCCTTCCACCTAATTTACATCCCTTACTTTATTATGAAGAGCCAAAAGGAATTAAGAGAGATTTAAGAGGGAGAAAAGGGAATTAATGGTGAGGGGAGATATTACAAACATTGGCTTTGTGGTGAGAGTAAATATGGATTTTATGAGAGGCAATAAAGTCCCATGAGAGTTTTAATTTTGATGACTTGTTTTATATATATATTTGTGTATGTCTGTGCGGAAAAAAAGAGGAGGCACATGTGTGCTTTGTGGTGAGAGAACCCCTTACCTTCCCTCTTTCCTCTTTCTATTATATACTAGTAGTGAACCATGTGATGCATGGGACACTATATTTCTACGCTTTTGCATGTAGAATAGTAGAAAAAAAAATCTCTTTTCTTTTTTAGGTATTGAGCTTCAAACTTTCTTTTTATATAGCTTATATAATATAAGAAGCACATAAACCAACTAATGGTGACTCAATTGATACCTTATCTAGTTAGTTGTAGTATAGACCCGGGTTGGGGCAATGGGCTACCTTCCAMTGTGTAGCCCTATAAAGCAAAAAATGTGCTTAGCATGAGATTAATAACTACTAAGTTAAAGAAAACAATTCCAAAATTGAACCGATGAAAACAATAAAAAACTCACGTTAAGTTATTTCTTACTACATTTTATTATTAAACATAATAATCCATTAAACAAATCGACGTTAAATTAAATTAATATAAACAAAGGGAGAAACCTAAACCCAAGGAAAAGAGCAAAATATAGGGAAAAATTGATAACACAAGGAAAGGAGCAATGATTTGTTTAGATTGGTTACCCATGTACTAGTGGGCAAATTTGGGTTTTTAGACATTAATTTAGGTCCATGCTAAGGTTCCTATTGGAGAGAGAGGAGATAAAAAATGCCCATGGATTTCCTCTTTCTATTATATATAGATATATAGATGGATTTGGGATTTAATGGGAGGGAAGATATTACAAACATTGACTATTGGTGAGAGTAATAATGGATTTTATTAGAAACAATTAAAACCTAAGAGAGTTTTTATTTGAGTTGTGGATGGATTTTATTAGAAGCATTTAAGAATAGAGAGGCTTTTTTTTATATATATCTTGCATCCTACCTCACTCCTAAACAAATAACCTTTCTCTTGCCTCCATTATCTTTCATTTAAAGTGGAGGTCACTTCATTTTACTTATCATGAGAAAACAAGACAGTCAAAAAGCAAAAGTAAACCAGAAATTATACTTTGACTAATTGCACTCGCAGGCAAACAAACTATGCCTAAGAATCATATTTTCTTCTTCTCCGAGGCCTAATGAGACAAAGACTCATGTTTTTCAAGTTTCATGCAAGTCATTTTCAATTTATTTTGCTCATGATATATAGTGGTGTTGGCATTATTATCTAATACATCTAAGTGAAATGTTTAGATTCAATGTGACACCCACCCACCCTACGATAATGATTCTCGTCCATGTGCAATAATGAGCCAATCATCAGAAAACATTTTCTTTCTAAATTTGGTCATTGGGTGAGAATCATTATAGTAGGGTGTATGGTGACAGTCACATTGAATCTAAACATTTCACTCAAATGTTTTATTTAATAATGCCAACACCAAACACAATATTTCTCAATGGCCCGGTTAACATAAGTACCAATCAAACAAGTTTCATCTCAAAACGCCTGTGTTCTCGTTTTAACATGAAATGCCATCGTGGCATTGCCTCTCTGAACGTTTTTAAGCTGAAATGGCAATGATACAAATACACAACCCTAGTTAATGAGTTAAATGGTTAGTAGTGACAAGGTAAACGTTCTGACCCACTGGCATCCGCTACACATAGAGCCTACGCTGCCCCACACGTTTAAACCAGCACCTGCTCAATGGGAGGGATGTCAAGGGTARCTAATCCAGGTTCAAATAAGGAGGTGTTCAATTTAGTTTTAGTGATGTGGCTGTTGTTTTTTTTCTTCAAAAACAAAACCAACCATTTTGTCAAACACCCCATTGGCAATATCTCCATCATGGCTTAGCCTTAGATATTGGGCTTTGTGGGAGGAAAGAAATTCCAGGATCTTTTCTGAAGTAGAGAGACAGTGAAGACTTGAGAGAACTGATCCATGTAAGGATTGTACAGTGGCTGAAATCTTCAAAGTTGTTTACAAACCTCACAATGAATGATTTATTGAAGAAGTGGGGTGAGATTGMTAATTGTACCCAGCCCAAAACAGTATGGAGTGTCTTGGACCACCCCCCCCACCAGCCGATTTTTTTAAACTAAACTTTGATGGGCGTAGTTAGAGAAATGCTGGACAATCGGGGATTGGAAGTGTGTTTAAGGATGAGAATGAATTTGTTTCAGCCATGTTTTCAGGCCCAATTGGAGTGGGTGACTCTCTCAGGACTGAGATCTTTGCAGTTCTGGAAAGAGTCCAAAGGAATTAAAAGAGCCAAGGAAATGAATATAAGAAAACTCATCATTGAAGGAAACTCAGAGATGGTAGTAGGGTGACTGAAATAAAGAAAATAGGAGGTTATGGATGTAAAATAATGAAAGGAGGAAATTTAGGTGGCTGGTTCAAGAGATGAAAATTAAGATCAATTGGGTGAAAAGATTAACTAACTCTTTTGCTGATGGGTTAGCTAAAGGAATCGAAAGGGWGTTAATATTTTAGGCACAAGTGTAATATTTTCCTTTTACTACTTATTTTTGCGATTAATTAATGAAATGTGGTTATTGATTAAAAAAACATCCCTCGACACATAGATTTTTGTCATGTCTCAATTCTCAAATTCATTCAGATGCTTATGGTGTAATTCAAGCAACTTTGAACCAGCATTTATCATGTATTTTGTCTGTCCAATACCAGCAAGTTTGTATAGAAAAATAAATAAATAAATAAACCAAATGTCAGATCCACATCCATCCACCCTCAATAACCAGCACCAACATTGGTCATTGGGTTCCCATGTACATCTGACCTTTTAGAGCATTTGTGCATCCTAGTCACTGCTCCTAAAATAATTATCAGTGCATCGTCACATAAATTCTTTTAGTATTAAGAAATCCGTAGGCGTTTACTGAATTTTTTTCAGTCTTTCTTAAGGATAATGAAGAAAGGAAAGTGTAAGATCTAAACTGTGACCATCCTTTAATCACATTTTGGTCCATCTAGACAGGGTGGCGATCTGGATAGCTAGCCCTAAGTTGGAAAGGGTTAATAACAAACTATATGGTATAAATTAGACCCTTACCAAACAAAGCCAAAAGAACTGTCAGTACATGGCATTTGGCATCAATTGAAAGACCAGAAATAAGTCAGTTAAATAGTTACTTGAGGAAGAGGCTACGAGTGCTGCTGCACATCTTTTTCTCTATTACTTCAATGTTTGCTCATCAGTTATTCCATACTTCAATATTACCCTCCTGTTTTTTGCTGTTGCTTTCTGTTTTTTTTTTTCCCTTTGGAGAGGGGGGGGGGAGGGGGTCCTCTTTCCTTCTCTCTCTCTCTCTTCACAAGCAATATAAAGTTCTGCAGTAAATGTTGATATCCTAGAAAAATGCCTACAAAAAGATTGCCTTCGCCTGTGGCAATTGTTTACAGGAAGGTGTCAATTGAATGATCTCTATCACCAACTATTCTACCATGGCATCAACAGGAGCCTCTTCAGCTGGTTTAGAGGATTTCCCTTTTTTCTTACCTATAGCCAAAAAAGAAAACATTAATTTTCCTCTCGCAAACTAAGGAGTGTTTGTCAGTGTAGATTTTGTTTTCTAAAACAAAAAACCAACTGCCACATTAGCAAAAACAGTGCATTTCTACTGATGTGATAGTTATTTTTTTGTTTTAGAAAGGAAAACCATACACATGGGAAAACACCCCTATAGCATCAAATTTAGTTATCCCATACAAAATAAGAAGAAAAAATCATCACAAGCAATTCACAAGAACTTGGTGGCAGGAAGGATGTAGACTAGAAAAGAATAAAAAACTTACCCTTACGCTTTAGTTGTTTGACTTGAAGCTTTGCACTCTTCTTCAAGCGAAATTTTGTTTCTTCCTTTTTGGCCTCTTGAGATGACCCTAATTTTCGGCAATAAACTAATATTATCTTTACAGTTTACAATTCAAGATGAGCACACAATATTTTAACTAATAACATCTTTTCAATACAAGAAGAGCATACAAGAGGTCCAGCTTGATGTTACATTAGTCATGAACCATATGAACAATCATGAGAAACACTGCTTCTGCGATGAATACTAGATGACGTGTCAACTTAAATTTTGTCAATAATTAGCAATTCTTCTTTTATCAGTAACAAACACAACTTCTGTCAGAATGCCCAATCAATAGTTTAATATTAGTTAACATCAAAGGAACCAGCAAAAGGAAGAAAAGGCAACAACCATTGTTGGATTTTAAGTATGTACTTTATCATTAGACCAGGATACTAGAAAACCAACCAGATTTAGTCTAATAAGTAATCAGGAAATATTAGTATTCAATTAACTTAACATATAGAAATAAGGTAGCAACATCAGCACTCAGCAGTAACTAGTTATGTTCCTTCTGATGGTTAATGAAAAAAAAAAAATACATAAGAAAGAAAATAAGAGATAAGTGAACATAGGCACAGCCTTGGAACAATCAGATACGCAAGACTGCACATAGAAAACAACAGAGGAAAACCCCGAAGGAAAAAAAAAAAAAAAAAGTCATCACCCAATGTTGGTCCTAGTTGCCAAAAAAAAATCCTAGTTATAATTATCAAAAAAAAAATGTTGGACCTAGTTATCTAGGGTCATGGGTATGGAGGACTCTGTACAGACCTAATCTTTGGCAGTTTTTGCACAAAGTGGCTGCTCTCAGACTTAAACCTGCGCTCTGACACTTCAACCCAAGATTTTACCATTACACCAAGCAATTTTCCTCCCTCAACAAACAAATTCAAGGGGATCCACATTCTCATTGCCTAGAACTCTGAATAAAGGACTTGTGCAATTCCATCACACAACTTAAATGAGTAACTGGTAGCAGCACCCCTTTCATTTTCCAAACTGTTGTTCAGCAGTTTGTGAATATCAAATAAACCTCCCCAGAATATGATTTTAGTCCACCTACTTACCTCTTCTCCAATCAATTATGTTACAGTGCCTGCATCTATAGTTAACTGTCCTCCCTTTCCAAGTGAGAGTTCTATCTATGCAAGACTATGCCTAAGGGCATCTTGAATTAATCACTCCAAAGAGCTCATGATAGTTGTACTTGCAATCTCCCACATAGAAGATAAATRAGGTTCATTTATCTGTTAATATTCAGTTTATATGCTTACAAAAACTGAAATTAGATTGTAAGAATTACACCGATGAATAAGACTATAGTCACTTATTATCTAATTATCCAAATCAATATAATCTAATTCAATGGTATAAATTTTAAAGAGGAAAAAAAAAGGCACCTTCAGCCACCGCCATCTCGATGTCTTCCATGCTAACTATACCCTTTTGCAGAGCTTCCTTCTGCTCCTGAAGATTATAATTACAACAAAAAGAGAATGAACAAACATATATATAAGAAACCCGCTACATGTCAAGAAACCTACTGGCTTATCTTGAAATTGACACACAAAGAGAGAGAGAGAGAGAGAGAGAGAGAGAGAGAGAACAAACCCTACGCCATTTCTTGAACAGCTTTCTCTTGCGCTTGCCGGACATGGAGAGAGGTTGGGGTTTGTTCTTAAGCTTCCTCGTCACGGGATCTCCATGAATTGCCCGCTTACGTTCTGCGGCCTGAGCTCTCTTCATCTTCTGGGTCTCGTTGAACTTTGCCATTGCTGCTGCGCCTCTGCGCCTCTGCCTGCAAAACCCTTCTCTTTCTCCTTCTCTCCAATCACTTCTACCAAATAACCCTCCCCACTCGTAAGCGGATATCCATTTGTCCAGAATGGATCTGCATTTACATCCGACACGGTTCATCGTCAACCGACGTAACCGGACCAGCCCATGACCCATCCCTGCAATCGGGTTCCCATTTTGTACCATATAAACCATTAGCCCACCGGATGATCCGGATCATACATTAGAGCCTGAACCTGGTTTAGACTAGGGGTGATCATGGGCCGGGCCGGGCCGGGCTTTGCACTTACGATAAGGGCTATAGTTTAGGCCCGGGCCTGAAACATAAGCCCTAGCCCAGGTCTACACAGGCCCAGGTTGGGCCGGCCCTGATTTTGGACCAATATCTTTCATATATAACATTATATATCTATAGTATTTTATATTAAATGACACAACATGCTTATAAATTTATTTTATACATTATATAATATAAATATTACATATAATATAAATTATATATGTCATGTTATAATATTTATATATAAAATATATAAAATAACATGTCATATGTATACATTATACACAAAATGTGTAGGTTTAAATATATGCAGGTTGGGCCAGGTCAGGCTTAAAGTATTAAGCCCAAGCCCCACCCTAAATTTTGCGAGCTTGATGTGGGCCCAGGCCTGAACACAAAACCTAGGCCCAAGCCTAGAATTTCCAAGCCAGGCTTGCACGGGCCAGGTCGGGTCGGGTTGAAATGATCACCCCTAGTTTAGACATGTTTCATAGGTTGGGCTTTCTCTCTATATTAATAAAATACATACACCCCGAGCCCAAGCCCGACTTAACATTGGGCCTAGGTCTTGAGTTCGAGCCCAATCCTCATATAAAGCCCAATAGAAAATTGAAAAAAAAAAGATTTCTTTTCTTTTTTATTTAATAAAAAACTAATTTATTTATATTAAAAACCTTGAAACCCAAAAATAATAAAAGATCTCCCTATGGTTTGAAAAATGAGGAGAATAAAGAAAATAACATATTATATATATTTTTATTATATAAAATACATTTTTATATAATATATTATAAGTTGGGCTCACACAAAGTTGTTTTGAGAAAGCCCGAGCTTAGCCCAAAAAAAAATCGTGCCCATTGGCCTAAATTTGTCCAARCTCAACTTGGAATGAATCGGGCCAAGCCAACAAACTACCTTACCCACTAACCTGATTCATACATTTTGTACCAAGTCTTTTTTTTTTTTTGAAATTTATGATTTATCCACCTCATAAATTTTTATTGTTTTTTTAGTTTTCTTTATCAAAACCTTGATATAGTATCCCTTGTATTTTGATGAATTCTCTAGACTATCACTATTCCCAATTATATAAACTAACAAAAATTTATGAGATGAGGGAATCAAAAATACACATTTTAAAAGGGACCCACATGTGGGGGAATAGCTAGGGTGCACATTAAAACCGGGTCCGTTTGTAATTGGACCGAATATAAATCCAACCTTATCCAATATGATATAATTATATTTAAATATACCAGTGTAATTTTTAATTGACCTCGTTCATAAAATATAATATCAAAGTCGTTCTTTAGTTCATTTCATTAATACTATATCATATTTTGACCAATTTCAGTTTAATATGTCTACACTATTCAATATCCAATTGCAACCCAAAATGGATTCAAATATGGCATAAGTAGAATTTGAATTCAAATATAAATAAATCAAATTTATTTTTAGGGTAAAATACAAAAGTCTTCCCTGAAGTTTTTGACAATCATAAAAACCTCCCTTATAATTTTATTTAATAYCTCCCATAAACTTTTGAGAAACTCAACAAAAATCTCCCTTCCGTCATTGTCCCAGAAGAAAAATGTTAGATTGATGCACCATTTTTTTTTCAAATACCTATTCCACCCTTTTATAAATTATTTTATATACAAATTACTGAAATAACTCCGTTTTAACTCAACAAAAACCTCTTTTAATGATCACTTCAGTACTTTTACATACAAAATTACTGAAATATGTTTTTTTGTTGAGTTAAAATGGGATTATTTCAGTAATTTTGTATGTAAAATAATTTATAAAAGGGTAGAATGGGTATTTGAAAAAAACTGGTGCATCAATCTTATGTTTTCCATCTGGAACAGTGACAAAAGAGAGGTTTTTGTTGAATTTCTCAAAAATTCAGGGGAGGTATTTGTTAAAATGAAACCATAGAAGAGGTTTTATGATTGTCAGAAACTTTGGGGGAGGTTTTTGTATTTTACCCTACCAATTGAACCACCACCAATTGGTATGCTAAAAATTATTGTAAAGTTTGTGCTCCATTCCATTCCAATTCATTGTAAGTCGTTCACTCAATTTCCCAAAAAGACCCTGATAAGATTTAGACGTCATTCTAGTGGCAAGACTCAAAAAAGGAAAAATCGTTTAGATGGTCAAACTAGAATACTTTGTACTCTAAGGAGGGTGGTTAGCTTGGAGCAGAGCTTAYTAATAAAAGCATTAGCTTTTTAAGTTAGCTTGGAGCATACCCATTCATGRGCTGGGATTGGGCTTGGATTTTGCCAAAATTCTAATGAGTTCGGCCTGAAACCCAAGCTCGAAACAGTATAGAGTTGAGCCTGAAGCCTTCCTCATGAATAGATCTAACTTGGAGGCTTATGTTGAAGGACAGAACTAGGGGTGGCCACGAGCCGAGCTCTTAGCGAGCTACTCGAGCTTGGCTCGTGAAAAGCTCAGCTTAGCTCAGTTTCAACCGAGCTTTGAGTCCAATTTAGAGACTTGATTAATAAACGAGCCGAGATCGAATATATATAATAAAATTATAGAAACTAGTATATATAATAAAAATATTATAATTCTTATTTTTAAATATTAAATAAAAATATTTTTATATATAATTTTTTTATTTTTATACATGTTTTTCTCAAATCAAGTTCGAGTTCAAGGTTCTAACTCGAACCGAGCTTGAGCCTTGTAATATATATTGGCGAGCCAAGCTCGAGCCTCTATTCGGCTCGGCTCGACTCGGCTCAAATCCACCCCTAGACAGGACCCTTTGTGTTCAACTATTGAAAACAAAATATCTTAAACAATGATAAATTTCTTAGATGCATAAAGTCTTCAGATTCAAGTATGTGGAAAGCTATAGGAAGAACTCTTGCGGATATTTGTCCAATTTATATCCAGATAAATTTTGTGGAGAATAGCTTGAATAAAGCACAATACTTCATGGACTTTTCCCACTAGTCCTTCTAACAAGAATTCTAAGCATCTTACAAATATGAATCAGGGATCTTGTGACAGACTGAAAGAGATGGGAGATAGAAGCTGCATGGCAACTTCGATTTTAGCGTTGGAATCCTCTGTGCCACTTTGAACCCCCATTGAAGGCATAATGATGATCCCATGGATATAAAATCGGATTAGCTGAACACTTCAACTGTGTAATAGGCTGTGGAATGAATGATAGTGGTCCACACCAGTGATAAAATACATGGGGAATGACTGTGGGCCCCATGTATTTTATGACGAGAGTGGATTGTTATTGTTGGTTCCTACAGCTATCTCCTGTTTGTGGAGAATTTGTAYAACTTTCGTTAGGGTATTTCTTCGAGCAATTTGTGTGATCTGTGTGGTGGGGAGGTAGAAACTCCGATCCATTTGCTCTGTTAGTGCCCTTTTGCAAGGGCCATACTTTTTGCTAGTCTATGGAACCTATCTTTAAACAATGACCAAATTAGGACTGTTTCTGAATTTGTGATTTTTTATATTAATCTTTCTGCATGTAGAAACTCAAAGAAAAGTTTTCTTGCCATGGATTGCAATTGCTTTTTAGTTTTACTAAATATGGATAGCCAGAAATTTTTTGATATTAAGCTTTTCCCTCAGATTCTATGTACTACTATTACAAATGATCACTTCAATAATTCTTGTCCCTCTTTACAAATATCAACTGCAGATTTGAATTCTTCTCTGCTAAGGTAATCTATTCTAAGCCCTTTTTAGCCGATCCAATGTGATGCTGGCGCTAGACCAGACAAAATTGGTTCAAATTGATTTTGTAACCAAATATAGCCTTAGAATTAGATGTTTATCTACATTAAGTGTCAAYTAGATTTTGTGCTACAACCAAACAAACATCCCTTGGAAGATCTGTTTGGGACGAAATCATGAAATTTCAATTGGGCTGAGAGGGATGCCAGCAGAAATCTGTTGAGATAAATTACAATATAAAATTGGGCTCACTCCAATCCTAGAAACCAGGGTATATTCAAGATGATTTATTAGGATTTTAAGAATAACTAGGTTTTTCTGCTAATATATAACTATTATTACAGACTTTACAGTATTATACATAAAATAAAAACAACTGTAGGATAGCGTAACAAGACTGCTGAACTATAATAGTAATAGAAAAAAATATATTAATTGGGACAAAAAGTCTTTTTCATCACCATGGAAACTTGTATTTGGGAGTCCAATTCATTGTCAAACTAGAATTGTGAAACGAGAAAAATGAAGAGGATTTTTTCTAAAGGATTTTGGCTTCAATTTCCTCAAGACTAAGCCCCTTTGTTTCTGGTACAATGAAGAATATGAAGAGAAGAGACAACACAGATATCACTCCAAATACAACAAATAGCATTCCCGCTCCAATCAATGACTGCAATCAAAATCCAAAAACAATAAACGGCTTAAGTAAGTGCAGTCATTTATAATGAGAAACAAAGAGAACAGAATCAAGTTTGAAATAAGAAAGGTGAATAGTAGTAACTGAAAACATATAGGTTATTGGATACCCAACCCAGTTCTTATTACCTTCCCATGTGCTATGAACGCATTCATTAATATGAACTTTTTTCCACACCATAATGAAAATCTCAATGTAATAATGAAACAGGTTGGAAATTTTGAGAGAATGACAACAGATAAAACGTAGAGAAAATCCTCCTTTTAAAATTCATAATTAATAGGACAGACATTAGTTAAAATACAGATAGTTGAAGTCATTAAGTCAAACTGTTACACTGAAGGTCTATGCAGGCAACCAGAAATTTAAAAACACCTAATTTTTGCTGAGAGAGAAATGTAATGCCTGCTACAGGGGGTAATCTATCAATCAGAAACCAATAAGCTGAGATAAATGCCTAGTAGATTGCTTTGACCTAGCTAATATCAAACTAATCAGAACGAAGAAATAGCAAGTAAATAGCAGCATTCTGTTTTCAATTTTACTGCTGGGAAAATAAGATGAACACTACTCCCTTCCGGTACTAAAAGTTGCCAATCAATCGATCGAGCATTGGTTATATATGACATACTACCAAAAAGAAGAATTCTCTAATACAAGCATGGCTTAACTCTATCTTGAAAAAATAACATGTTTCTAGAACTCCAAATTCTATCTTAAAGATTTTCCTGCAAAATCAATCTCCTATTAGTGACAATGAGGAGGTGGAAAAAAACACCAACTGTTTTTCCTACAGAACCAATTGTCCACTACCCACAACCATGGCTACAAGGATATATCATACAAAGGTGCCAACTGGCTTAGTTGGAATCTCTGGATGTGGTTTGCTTGGACAACTCCCCACCTGATTTCAAAATTTGGATGCCCAACTCTTTGTGTCTTTTCCTGCTCCTCTTTTTTCAAGGTTTTGTCCCATTCCCATTCTCTTGGTTCCCAGTCTTTTCCTTCCAAGGAAGTTTGGCATACTCTGGTTCCTCCAAAGTTATGGCTTTTTGTTGGAAGTTGTTTCATGAAAAAATCAATACTTGTGATGTTCTTCAAAGAGAAGAGCAAACTGGCGCCTGTCTCCTCATTGGTGTGTTCTTTGTAATGCATTAATGCATGTGGGGAATCTTTATACCACCTACTATTACTAATTTCTTGCTCTTTTGCTTTGCATTTGAAAAAGGTTTTCGACATCAAATGCTTATTCAGCCCATATTTCTTACCTTTGATAAGGAAAAGAGGAACAAAGGCATCTATTATTTTGACAATTTGGGAAGAAAGAAAATATGGGAATCTTCAAAGGCAAGGTTAGGGGAGTAGAAGAAATTGTTGAACTTAACATAGTGAAGGTAGTCAATTGGGTAAAGACTTTTGGCAATTTTTGCCTCATTTTCAATGGATGAAGTGGTTAGAGGGTGGTGGTGAATAGTCATCAACCTCAAAGACGTTACAACAGATGCAACAGTCTCCTACTAGACAAGATTGTTTGAAGTTAAACTTTGATGGCTATTGGGGAGTAACTAGAGATGATAATGAGGTTACTCTAGCTTTATATTCAGGGCCATTAGGACAAGGAAATTCGGTGAAACCTGAACTGATGGCAATGCTGCAAGGCTTAAGAATATGCAAGCAGCTGAGTTTAAGAAACATCATGACGGACAGAGATTCAAAGATGGTGGTGGGCTGGTTGAACAAAACTCTCAAGGTCCATGGCAGCACAAGTCCCATTTGAAAGATATAAAACAGGTGGAAAAGCATTTAAATGCATTCTTTTACTGTTCAAAGGGCACTAGGGCAGCCAATGTTTTCGCTGATGCCTTGGCAAAGTAAGGTGTGACCAGAGASAATTTGTAATGGGCTCAGCTGTAACATAAAAAATAAGGGTGAGGGTGGATGGGTGAACTACCTAAATGAGGTTTTTATACATTTGTAAATAACTCTTTTCTTTTAATCAATAAAATCCTGATCTGTTATCCAAAAAAGGCTCAGTCGGTAAGGTCTCCATCTGCAGAGACTTGGGATCAAATCTCGCCTTTACCAGGGTGGGGTGTGGGGGTTGGTCTATCCCCTGTTCTGTAGCTGATGCAGCATGGTCAAAACCCAAGTATGCAACTTGAGAACAGTTCGATATGTAATAGCATGTTGAGAAAGAAGGTAGAGGGCCGAGTCACACAGCCTTGAATTAGTGTATTTGGAGTCTCACCTTAGAACTCTAATTCCATATTGGAGTCACACCAATCAGTTATAGGAATCATACTTATAATAAAATGATAGAATCACACCACCAAGGCACAAAGTGCTCAAAGAATATGCTCAATTCATTCACTGCTGAAAACAGATTAATACATCCCTTTGTATGGGAAAGCTTTATACCTTTTTCCTTACTTGACCCAATTAGAACACCTTTTTTTTTCAAATAGTAATGCATGAATAGTGGGTATTAAGCAGAGATTGGGTTCTCGGTTTCTAAACCAGGGTGTGTGGCTTTATATTTACATAACTACAACTACATATTTAAATGCATAATATATGAAACAGGATAGAGTGGAATGGTGAAACAAGATTAATGTAGATAGTTGGAGTAAGGCTTTGTTGAGCTTCTTACTTGAGTATTCATATATTAATATAGCACCATTATTGCTGCTGATAAAAACAACTATGCATGATGTGTTAGCAAGAAAGACTTAAAATGTATCATTCAGAAAAAGATATAGTCCTAAGACAAAGTGGGACATTCATACAACAGCTTATCGGAAATAGTAAAGAATGACTTTATCTGAATGGTTCTAACCAAATTGGCTCATTTTTAATCCATTCAAATCCCAGAAGATGGGCAATTAATCAGATGATGACCAATATATATAATTCATGGATGGTCATATAGTTCTAGGTTTTCTTCATTAGTATTTTAAAAAACATACGAGGTCTATGACTTGAAGTGAGGCTCAAGGAAAACAACTCAAGACCTTCATGCTCATGCATGAAAGTATAAAGAACATTTGTCACATCTTGAAATGCCCTATTTGTGTTTTTGTATACATATTTGCATCAATGCATGTATATGTGCTTGTCATTATGCTTTAACATATTTAAAGCCATTGGAACAATAACCAAAAAGAAGCCACTGTGAATCTGTGATGTATTCTTTAACATATAATAGTTATTGAATGGTTTGTAATAATGAAAATATTTCCTCTAATTCTAATATTCTCGAATCATTTGATTATATTGTCATTTATTCATTTATATGATTCTTCCAACATAAATATATACTACACTTATGCATAATTTTGTACTTTTCCTCATTTTAGTAGGTGTTCTTCTTTAAAACATTGTTAACCACGAAGCTAAGCATCATGGCCCAAGGCTTATGCCTCACACATCTAAGTGCATCACCTCACATTTCCGCATTTTTAAACGTTTTTTCCACCATAAAATCTGATAATAGAAAAAGTTATTGATGATTATGTAGTGGTGTTAAGTCTCAACGATTGTACCTGATTGCATTGGAAATCAGGGAAGTAAGGCATTTTGGCACATAACACAATGCAAAATTGTTTAWTGTAGTTTTAAACACATAAGTTCCATTAGGCAACACTAGGTACCACATAAGACAACCAAAGTGGAAACACCCCCTGTTGGGGGGAACACCAAAACGAAGCTTCCCCCAACACTCTCATGCACATAACTCTATGCAAAACATGGTATATTTATTTGAAGTTGTATCTGCCTAACCAACATAATCTTGGAAGGTAAGGTCAAAATTCCTACATGGCTTACATGGAGTCTAAATGGGAACACAACACCAATATTCCAAACACCGCCAAAGCATTTTCCTTAGAAATTTACTGATGGCACTCCTAAGAATTAATAACAGGAAAATGGAATTTGTCAAGGAGATAGATACCTCTAGTGGAGAAAATGCAAATGTTACAAGCGCATTTGAGGCAAAATTAACAAGCACTGCAATACTTAGTCCTCTCCCTCTCAGGCGTAGAGGGAAAATCTCTGAAATCATCAGCCAACCAATGGGTCCAAACGATAACTGCATAAACCAGTCCCGATAAGAAAGCCGCATTGGCATGTGATACAAATACAACAAATAACTAGCATTCACTGCTTATCACATTCCAAATATACAACTACCAAATCATAAATCCTAATATGGTCAGCCCAGAACTGGCAGGCATRGTACCTTAGAAGTAATTAACAATCACTGTTCTAAAGCAGATCCTAATCTAGAACTATTGCACCAGAAAAGGAAATAATATGAAGACTGGAGTGAAAGAGAAACCTCTCATACCTGGTAACACCCAACATACAACAGTAGTGCAACTACAGCTACAAATGGTGCATTGTTTAAGAAAGTATAATATGCTGCCAGCAGGAACAAAGAGATGACCTGACATAGGAGAAGTGAATATTGAGAATGAAGTATATGAAAGCCATGCAATTAAAATAATCATCAGAAACATTACTCCTCAAAAGCACCCCAGTTAATAGAATGAGAGATTTGACTGCTTTTTTTCTAAGCACTGTTTTGAAGCACTCCCAAATACAATCAATACTTTTGATTTTCAAGAAGGCAAAGAAATTTGAGAACATGGCCTTGCAACTCCAGACATTCTGGAGGTAAAGACCTCTTGATGAAATCATAAGAGCTGCTTTTGAACTTGAGGTATCACCAAAATGGACCTCATAGTTGTTGAGTTATAATCCTTTTCTTCATTGATAACTGAAACTTTATTAGTTAGGAACTTAGGATGAAAGAATGGAATACATGTACATAGGTTCTTGAGGTATCTCATCAAGAAAAGAACAACACTTTTATGTCCTTATCCCCAAGAAATTTGGGGCTTTAAATTTTAGGCCACAGTTTAGTTGGTAGTGTGTACAAGATCATCTCCAAAGTTCCACCTTTTAGAATCAAGGAAATTCTGAACTTGGAATTGCCATGAACTGGTGTCAGGAAGTCATGCTTCAGTGGGAGATGGAAAAGCTGGATTTGGGGTATGTTTCTTGTGCCCACTTCTCATTTCGTGGCAGTGACTTCCTGATAAGTTTCTTTTAGACTGAAACAGGTTTAAATATAGGTGTAATGTGGGCTGTGCCAGGCCAACATGACCTACTTTTGACATGCCGCCAATCAGCCATACAAATAGGATTGGTTTTTTAAGGGCTTTAAAGAAGGTACAGGCAAAGCAGTTGCCTTGCACCTTCAGTTTTTTGACAACATTATCATCTTTTGTGATTCATCAGTGACAGGAAGATGTAAGGAATTTGAGAATTATTATCAGATGCTTTGAATAAATACCAAGTTGTACATTAACTTCAGCAAGTTACCATAGGTATCAATCTTAGGGGTAGGGGGATTAAGAAGAATATAAGAAGCATGGAACTTGATACCTTGAAATGACCCAAGTATCTAAGCCCTAAATTAAAATTTCAAATGTGGTGACTGAGAGACCTACAAAGCTCGTGAATTTGGGGGAAATGTTCTAAATCTCCTGGGGAACAATTATCTTGATTAGATTTCTGATTTACCAATCTACTTTTTTTCTCAATCTTTGAGGCCCACATGAAGGTATTAAGAATTTCATGTTTGAGGTTGGTAATTCCTATAAGAAACACCTTCAGAAGATCATTTGTAAAGGAAAAGGGGACTGCATTTAGACATTGGTACTGAGAGATTCTAATTTGACAGTTTAGTTTTTCCTTGTTATAATTTTCCAATCTACTTCTTTCAATCTTTAAGTCCCCTAAATGGAGAAGGATTTTAAACATTTCTTTTTAGAGCCTAGTGATCTTTTAAAAAATACCTCAGCAATTAGGAGACTATTTGTAAAATAAATGACCACAGTTTGGACATTGGTAGGGTGAAGGATGGTACCCATCTATCCCCAGCATTTGTTTTGAAGGTTCCTTAATAGTTTCAGATTCCGCAGGACTCAGCAACCAGAAGTAAATAAACTAATGTAGAAGCCTACTCGAAGGCTCACTAGGATCTGTCCTCGCAAATCTATTAATGAAATATTTTCTTCTTTTTCATTATATATGAATTGATCTCTAGGAAATACTAGGTTCTAGGAAGATCAAAGGTGGTGAAGGGGTGCTGCTTCTTTAGAGATTCTTGAGGATGGTTCCACTCAGTTGAAGTCACTGAGAGCTGCAAAGCAAATCATGATTGACAATGATGGGATCATAAAGAGAGGCTTTTCTTTATATATGTTTGATCAGGAGGTTTTSTGATGATTGCCAAAGCTCGTCAAGGTGAAGACATGGGTTCAGGTAAGGCGGCCTTCCCTTCACTCTCCTGGGGTCAGAAATCTAGAAAGAGAGCTCTAGTTTTTCACACTTTTTTTTTGGATATTGAGGCTATTGAGATACTCAGGCTTGGCTAAAGGACTTTCAATAGTTATCAACCCCACTTTTAGAGSTTGATGTCATCAGTCAGACTAGTTCAAATCCCTAGAGGTTACACTTGCTGGCAGGTAAGGGTCATAGGAGTGCCTCTCCATGCATGGTGCATAACCACATTTGTTAAGATTGAGAATGTCACGGTGGATACATCAAAGTGGATAAGGAAAACCTAAGCTAGGTATTTTCTGGAATTGGTAATGTTGCTGATTTGCAGTAGTTCTCTGTCTGACATCACAAAGTTTTTGGATCTGGCGGTGAAAGGGAAGAAGTGCATCCTTCAAATTGTAGTTGGAAGGGGCAGTGGTTTTAAGATCTTGTCATCACGACGGAAGGAACAGCATAGCCTCCATTGCTACAAGCTGGAGGGTAAAGACATCAATTCAGTGGAAAGGAGTTGCAAACCCAATATAGCTGGTTGTGAGGCACCTACACTGTTTACCATGGATCCTCCAGTGAGGACATAGCCAGTGGAAAAAAAGAAGGAATGGTGAGTGATGGATGACTAAAAATCCAAATTCTGATATGGGTTATGTCAGGTTGTTGAAGTTTTGCAATCTGGAAGCTTCCAACTGCATTTTAAAGAGAGATTGGAATTTTATGATGCTAGGCCCACTGTCATGGACTGAGGGGGGACCAATTTTGGTTGTATTTTGAAATAGAAATGCATAGGAATTGGGCCTAGGAGCATGCAAGCAGCCAAAGTCCCACTTATGTCCATTTGGGACCATTTAAATGTGTTTATTAGCCCATGGGTCTTGAAGGCATAATATACTCTTGARAAAAATATGCAGAGTATCAAGGGCATGAAAGGGATCTTAAAAATGACAGCACTTCAAGTTTATGAGACAATCAAAGAAAAGGATGCCATTCTTGGAGTTCAAATCAGCCCCCCACAACGTCCCACAGCACATCACCGCCATGTATTGGGAACATCTCCCGATGATGACATCATCATTTCTGGTATTATCATCAGGAGATGTTCCCAATGCACGGAAGAGATGTGCTGTGGGACGTTGTGGGGGGCTGATTACGAGTCCCATTCTTGTTATTGGTTCTATCATCAGGGTTGGCAGAATCTTCCCCTCAGCCGCCGAGGATGGGAGATGGAAGTTGCAATCACATAGCGGATTCCAGGGCTTTGGTCTCATTTATCTTGTTAAAAGCTGTTATTTATCTAAGTATAGTACCGCAGGGGTACTATTGTATTTTTACCCTTTTGTTTTTTAGTTGCTATCGCCCTAGTATATATAACAAATAGCTGGYGCCGCCAGCATGCTTTTGAGCTCTCAAATCTTTGTCCTCTCTTCTTTCTTCCTCTCTTCTTTTCTCCTACATCACTGCACTGATAACATATMTCTCTCTCTCTCTCTCTCCCTCTCTCTAATAGGCTGTCTTTGGTGGATCTAATGGAAATGATTGTGAAACAATCTTGTACTGCCCCTAGGGAGTTGTCAACACCTTTTTTGTCATTTAGCTCCACTGGATGAGGTCATTGTTTGGATGATAGGAGAATGGTGAGAAGTTGTGCAAAGGTTGTGATTCAGAAGAGACGGGCTTAGGAGTGTCTAATACTTGAAAAATACAAGACTTTTTCAGTCTTGTAAGGGGAGTCAGTAGAAACTGATGGTAGTGCCCTTGGGACCTCAAAAGAGGCTATGAAGGTTCTTCTTGGGTACAATGAACTTAGGGAAGACATAAGATGTTATAACAGATTAGAGGAATAAAATTTGTAAGTCATTATCCCTTGATCAAGTGATTGCTAATGAGGTTGAAGTGGCCAAGTAGTTAAGGTCTTTTTGGGGGAAGGAGTTCAGCCAATCACCCACATATAAGCATATGGAAATAAAAGAGAAGAGGCCAAAGAAAAAGAGCAGGGTGAGTCAAATATCAAGAATTTAGATCCTTATTCAGCTGGTAGTTTTCAAGTCGAGGTATCAATTGGTGAGAGACAGATGTATGCAACCCGGCACTTACAGAGGCTGTTTCCAAAATTTAAATCCTGGTCGCCCAGGTCGCAATGGAGCAACCCAAACGATGTGCCAAGGTCCACCCTCATTGGCGGGAGCCTTGTGCACTGGGCTGTCCTTTAGGTATCAATTGGTGAGGCTAGTGATTCTGGTGTTTCCAAGTAGGAGAAACTATTCATGGCCAAAGGAAGGTGAAAAATAAAGAAATTGTGTTATTTAGGGGCATTGTTTGATCATGCAAGTCTGACAGGAAATAGTAAGAGCACAAGGGATTGAGGCAAGTATGAGAAGTAGGGTGTTCATTTCCTGGTTGCGGTTGGGTTAGGTATTKGGGGATTTGCTGTCTTTGAGGTTGTTGGGTTTTGTACTTTTGTTTAGATGTTTCAACAGGTTCAAGTCTATGTGGAATTTTTGGTTTTTCAGTCATGTGGGGTTGTTTTTTGCTTGGGCCACATAGCATGTATGGTGCTTGTACCCCGCTTTTTCCTATTTCTTTAATAATTTTTTTATTATTGTAGAGAAGATAGGCCGAATGGCCCATAGGCTATTATTCTATGTTATATTTATGTTCTTCTCTGTAATGGGCCTTATTCTGGGCCCATACTCTTCTATGCTGTGTTTTTGTAATTTCTTGCCCAACCAAGGGCCTCTCTTGTAATTATTCAAGAATTAACTTAATAAA